GAGCCATGATGAGAAAGCTGAGTGAATGACCTGCTTGCATGTTACACAAAGGAAAGTTGTTCTATACCTTGAGATGAGTCGGCCCTCAATGTATGACTTTAGAATTTTGCATTGCTAGCTTCATTATGAATAATTCTGTCCGGGATCCTCAAAAAATGTATAAGTCCAATTTAAAAGTCATTCCTGGCACAAAAATGTGTTCCCTTGGTATGGACATGGAAGTACCAAAGAGCATCTCTGTAATGTTGAAGAGCACAAACAATGGAGAGCTTTCACCAGGGGCTCCTAAAAATTCTTACATACTGTAGAGCAGGGGTACTTAATCTTTAGCCCCTGGGCCAAATGCAACCCACGACCATGGGGCCATCTCATCTGGCCCACAGGGAACCCCAGGGGTCCAGAAATTTGGCAGCAGGGGAGCATACAGCCATCCTTTCCCCCACCACATTCCCCAAACCAAAGCTCCATGTGTACCCCTTCCCCATGGGGCTGGGCCATGCCCCCTTCCCATGTCGGGCCAGGTCAAGTTCCTTTCCCCTGTGAGGCTGTTTTGAGGCTCACCTGCCTCCCACACTCCTCTGTGCTGCTGGATGGAGTCCACCGCACCCACTCTAGGTGCTAGATTGGGACCATCAATCAGATTCAGGCTGTGGATGGACTGGGCACTGCCCATCTAACCCACTGGGCACCAGTGCTATAGAGCGTTCAGGTATGTCTCTACATGTGACCTGAAGCATGGAGAGGAGAGTTCTTCCTGTGCCCTGACACAGCACAAGTCCACAATGTGCAAAAGCTGTGTTATTCTTATCATACACTCTGAACCACACCAATGCCTCTGCAATCAGGACTCTCCGTGAGTAAAGAAAAGCAAAGAAGAATTTCTCCAACATAGTCAACAGTGTGGAGGTTTGATAAAACTTTTGATTGATAACTTTTACTTTGCTCACTGTCTCTTTTCCTCAGCTGCTTCTGCACAGCCAGAAAACATTATCAATTTAAGTTTACTACAGGTGATCTCATTCCTGATATTACATTATTTCATACAATTGGCTCAATTTTTTTTCTCTGGCAATGACAGAAGTTTGATTCTAGAAATTATTAGTAACATGGTGAATCTTTTTGACAGTTTTCAGGCTTGCTGTTATCTTGAATTTATCAGGCAATGATGTAAACAACAGTAAATTCATCTTGAGGGGTTACTCACCAGAGTACAAATCCCTAAAAAAAGATGCAGCTCTGTCAGGCCTCTGAGGTATTTACCAGCAAAACTGGCTTGCAAATGTTGAATACTATTTGTACCTCTACAAACCATATATTTAAATTTCTTAACTTCCACTGATAATCATAGAGATGACCTAAATAAAGCAAGTAATTTAATTGAATTTTTATTTTATTTTTCAACAGAATTGTACCACAATTAGCACTGTAAGAAAAGCCAGAATCTAGCAGTTGTACCTATTGAGAACTCAATAAATTAGAGATGAAGAAGACTGATTAGATTTTCCTGTTAACACAGAATAATTCCCTAGAGTATATTTTTAGCATTTCATCTACTGTTTCTAAAATACCCAACTAATAGGACTTCTACCACATAGCTCAGAAGATTATTTCACATTACAATAGATCCCAGTGTCAGGAAAATGTTCCTGCTACTGAGCATAAATTTTTCCTTTCTTAATCTCATTGCTCATTTTAACACTCTAAATAATTCATCTTCCCTAAGTTTTCACAGCTGTCAAATATATAGCAGATTCCCTTTTAAGATTGGTGCACTTCATCCTCACTTTATATAACTGTAGTGCATGTAAAAGGAGCTGGCAGCTGACAAAACTGACAACCTGATAGACTATTTCAGAACAGCTGCTACTAAAATCATAGTCTTTTCCCTTGATGTTCACCACAACGTTCTCCCTTGCTGGTTTCAGCATCAAGCTCAAGTTCCCAATTTTCAGTTTCAAAGCCTTGCACAACTCCACCCAAGCAGGTCTAGGTTTTCTTTTCACTCTGCATTTTACCTTTTCTCCTTCTATGCCTCTCCTTCATGTTCATCCCCATCACTCACTACATCTTGCTCCTGTACAGCCCCTTACAGATATTGCCATCACACCATATCATTTTTTTTCTTTTTCCTCAAAATATTTTCTCAAAACTTTCATTCTGTTTGAAGTCTTCAAAACAAGAACTACTTAGAATATTTCTACCTCATTTCCTTTTCAGTGTCCCAGGATTTTGGGATCACCACCTTCTGTTCCATGCACAAGTCCAATTTCTTTGATCTTGCCTTCTCTAAGGCCCCTGCCAGATGTGCAGGTAAAGGCACGGTAGAATCTTATGCATGATACACACAGCTGCACTTCCTTCCATGCCACATGTGTGTGGTTGGAATATGATTGTGGAATATCTTAAATCAAGTATCAGATGCCATCACACCTTATTACAGGTGCAGGGGAAGTCCAGGATCACAAACCCAAGCTCCCCCTGTGCCAGCAAGTAGCAAGCTCCTGCAGTTGATGGGGCTGTCAGCTGTGTGTATGTGTGGGAAAACAGGGACTGACTGCCAGCTGATGGGACTCCCAGCCAGGAGAACTCATGGTGTGTCCCCGTAGCTGTGAGCTCTATCAGCTAGACAGGTTTAATTAATGGTGTCATAGGAACCAGCCACAAAGTTAGTTCACGTTTTTTGTGGAATAACTTTGTGGCTTATTCCTTATTTTAAGACACCATTAATTGCTGTAAGTTGTGGCTGGGTTACAGCTTAAGACATGATTAACTGGTTCTCTAAGGCCCCTACCAAATGTGTAGGTAAAGGCATTATAGAATGTCATGCATGATACACACAAATGTGCTTCCTGACATGTCACATGTATGTGGTTAGAAGCCGGGGGGCAGATGGGGAGGGGGGCGGAAATGACACCTAATAGCTTATCATGGGGAAAGCTGCACAGGTTTTTCTTCTGAGAAGAGGATAGGACAGCAGACAACAAGACAAACCTTAATCACGTTGTTCAAGGTTCTGTGGTGATGAGCTTAGGACAGGTATCTCATAGATGGGTCTACATTGTGTTTACTGGACTGAGTTGCACTTGTCTAGAATATAATGTACTCCACTTACGTGCATATTGGTTAAGTGCATAATTCATTTAACTGCATATTGCAATGCTAGTCCCAAATGGTTACCCATTGCTTGCATTTGACATTTCCATATCAGTTATCTCCATATCAGTTAGGTGGATGGCCATTTTTTATATATTTATTTATTTGATTTTTATGCTGTCCTCTCAAAAAAAGGCTCAGGGCAGTTTACAATTATGCTTCCTATTAGCACAGGGGTGCTCAACCTCTGGCACAAACGTGGACTGTGGGGCCATCTCATCTGGCCCACAGGAATCCCCATGGGTCCAGTAATTTGGCTTCAGAGAAGCAGTGGCCATTGATATGACCACCCTCCTCTCTGCCAAATTCCCAGCCAGCAAGCTCTGTGTGTGCCACCCGCTCTTCTTCACGGCCCTGGAGGGCTGGATTACGGCCAGGCCACACTCCTTCCACCCCCCGCCAAGTTGGGGCTGGGGTATACCCTGCTTCCTCTGCAGAACCACCCTGGGGCTGGCCTGCCCCTTGCCCCCTTCTGCATGGCTGGATGGTGCTTGCTGCACTTGCCCTGTGCACCAGATCAGGACCCCAACCAGATCCAGCTTGTGGAGGGACCCGCATGGCCCACCCAGCTCACCAGGCAAAAAGGTTGAGCACCACTGTTTTAGCATATTCCAGTGTTATCTTTCCACCCCAGTGACCACTTTATCACTGAATTTTGATCCTGGTCACTGATGAGATCTGCCAGATTTGTAAGGCAAGAGATGATCTTTTATGAGACCAATATTCTAGTTGGAAGAAAGATTAAGAAAGGCAAGCCAAGGCCTCCCTCAGGTCTGGGAAAGGAAGAGCTGGCAGGGAAAAGGGTTTCATGGTAAAAGGGATTCATGGCGACCGTCAGGGACTTGTCTCAGGTCCACCGAGGGCTTTGGCTCCAAAGTACCAGAGGCAGGTCCCCCTTGGCAGTCATCCTTTCCAGTGCCGGTCAGAACTGCTTTGGCTAACCCTCCCCAACCAACCCTGTTCATGGGCCCCATTAATTTCAGTGCTCATAGGAACCAGCCACTAAATTATTCCACATTTTTTGTGGAATACCACGACCACAATGGTGGCAGGGGACATACTCTGACCAAGGTAACGGAATTAAAATGGCACTGTGTAGCACCCTTGTCTGCTTGTGGACAGGGCTCCTGACAAGACCCTTATAACTAGCTTCCCACTCGCCAGTTTCCAGCGGGAGGATCTCAGCTACACACCGACTTTACGGAAATGGGAGACTCCTCCATTGCTTGCTTCTGCGGCCATATGGGGTATCCGAACCCCAGGGCTCGGGCTTGCACGTAGGATACCCACCAAAGGATTTGGAAATATTTGAAGCCCCAAGGTGGGGTGGCGGATACTGGCTGGTAGCAGGACCACATATGGCTCTTGGATGATTCAAATGGATTTGGACCTGGTCTGGCTAATTTGACCTGGAACACTAAAAATTTAAAAAACAAACAAACAAAAACCCACAAAAAAGGTATTCTTTGTTTTATGACACCATTCATTGCTGTAAGGTGGGGCTGGTTCTTATGAAGAGGTCAGCTCATTTCAATGTTCGCTAACATGGCACGGGAAACGGCAGCGCTCCTCGAGACGCAGCGCGGAAGGAAGGAAATAAAGCAGGCGCGAGGCTCTGTGACGCTGACTCAGCGAACGCTGTGGAAAACCCCGGCGCCCCGCCCACAGCCGGGGGAGGGGCGGGCGGCTCCTCTCAGCCAATCAGCGCCCAGTTCCCGGAGAACGTTTATTTACGCCACCGGCGAGCGCCTTACCCACCCCACGTCCCCTACGGGAGCGGAAGTAACTGTGACGGATGCGGAAGGGGAGGGGGTGCGCGCCCTCCCGAGGGCGCCCGCGGTTGGTCGCCGGCGCGGAGGAGGCGGGGTCACAGGCGGGCGCGCGGGGCTCGAAACCGTTGGTGCGCGCGCTCCAAATGCAGCCGGCGGCCGTGGCCGCAGCTTTGTCCCCGCGGAGCCGCCGCGGGGAGGTGGATGACGGCGCCCCGGAGAGCTGGGCCGCGGCTGCCCCCGACGCCCCGCTCTCCCCGGAGCTGCTGGCGGAGGTGGAGGCGGTGGCCTCGGGCTGGATGCTGGAGTTCACCTGCCACTGCTTGTGCAGTCATTTCTGCGATGGTCGCATGCCGGACTTCCAGCGAAGTCGGGACGCGGCTCAGGGTAAGGGATGGGTCCTTGGCTCGGAGGCCCCTGCCCCACGCTAGGCACTTGATGGGTAACCGTACAATACGTGTAGACGCACCGTACCTGCCTAGTAACTGTCGCCCCCCAAAAATAACTGCCCCCTGTGCCAGCTCAACCATGTGTGAGAAGTGAAGAGGGTGGCTTCTGGCCCACTTTTCTCTGCACAGACGACAGGGCTCCCACAGGCCTTTGGGGCTGGAGTGGCCCCAGGGGCTGCAGTCACACCCGCCTCAGATCCTTGGCCTCCCAGAGGGAACCAGTGTCCTGCCTCAAGATGGTCCTCTGCTCTATGAGCTTGTCCCAAGCTGTGTTGCTGAAATGGGCACCTAGCAACATACCCATGGTTACATGGGAAGACTGGGGCCTGGGCAAGTCTGTGTAAGCAACAGATCCTGTTGCCCATGTCAGTCATGCTGATTCTCACCTCTTGCCAGCTTAGTGTTGGGCAGCTGCAGCGGTCCCCAGGGACCTGTGCTCAGTCAAACAGATCTTCAGAAGCCCACAACTTCTCAGAGGCTTTCAGAAGACTCTTGGGCAACTTCAGGAACTCAGTTTTTTAAGCATAGCTTGTGTGTGACTTGATCAGCCTACCTACTTAAAGAGCAAAAGTGTATTAGTAAAGGATTTTTTAATCTTGCTGGCAACGTTATAACAAGATCTTCAATTACTAGAAGCTGAATCTGAACAAATATACATTTCAAACAGCACATATTTTTAACAGTGAGCGTTATTGGCATATTTAACTAAAGGCTGTGATTCATGAGGTTGTGAACAGGTGTTGCATGTCGGGAATGCCACTCTCCTACTAGAAACTATGAGCATATAGGCATTTATGCAATTTCTTATGGAAGAAACCTGGTGGATCTGCCAAAGAGAGCTGCTTTTGGCCAGGAAGATCTCATCTGTACACGAGTTCCTTGTGGCAGAATGAATACCTCTATGCCTTGGGCATATATCCCCACCACTTGACTCATCCTAGCCACCAGGATGAGTCAGGCTGCTGCTGCCCCCCTTCTTCACCTTCCACAGACCAGTCACCCTGGTTCGTGGAAGGTGTGGGGAGTATTTCCCCACTGCTCAATTTGTCAACCCTGGGAGGAGTTGAGCTCCCAGTACATGCCCCTCCCCACCTCCTTTTTGCTTTCCATAAACCAGGGGCATTTCCCTTCTGCCTAATTTCTGGGAACCACTGCCACTGCCCCCCATGCTTTTTCCAGACGGGTGACATGGAGCCATTTCCCTGAGGTCAGAGCTCAGCGCCAGTTTGTCTGCAAGGAAGAAGAGGCAGCTGCAAGCTGGAGCACCCCTCTCACCACGATTTCTAGTACCTCAAAAAATTTCTGGGAAACTTCTGGTACTAAAAAGGAATGCTTGTTCCTAGCTGTGTTTTGGTTTCCTGAAGTTATATTGTGCCAAGGTAACCCAGTATTCTCTCTTTGGAAAGATAAATAATTTTCTCAGCAAAGGAAATGTAGACTGATCTTTCTAGGACTTAGTAAAGCATTTGATATGGTGCCAGGCAGGTAATTTATTTAGGGAAGATGGAGATGAGTACAAGAAGTGTAAGGTGAGTAAGAGACTACTTAAGAGAAATGCTAATAGAGTGCGTTTAAAAACGGGGGTATGTCTGTTTTAGAGGAGTTTCCCGGTGATCTGTCTTGGCACTGATCTATTTAATACTTTTTAAACCAAGATCATTCAAGTAGGAATGTGCTAATAATATATGATGTTGTGTCAAAGAGGCATCAATACACAAGAAGAACAGAATATCACAGAGGAGGAATAGGATCGCTTGATGATTAGAGTAGTAGAAGTAAGAATAAATATAATATTGCAGAGAGAAAGTATGTGCATGCAGTTAGGGACTAACACATTTCTTCTGCAAGCTTTGAGGTCAGTGGATAGACATGACAGGAGGGAGACCTGGTATATTTGTGGATCACAAGATGACTGAGCCATAGATCTGTCTGTGAAAAAGGCAAATGTAATGCTTGGATATATCTGGTGGGGTATTTTCTAATAGAGAGCTATTCATTCTGTTGTACAATGAACTAGTGAGACTTGGAATACTGTGAACAGCTTTTGATGATCATCCATGTTCCACTTGAGGAGTTTGTGAAAGGGATTGTTGTGTGGCTACTTGCCTGGACATAGTGATTCAGGACATCCCTTCCTGTCCTTTGTTCCTTTAAAAACTCTTTAGATGCACTTTTCTGCTGACTTCAAAAATCTTTCAAACTCTGGTTCCATCTACAGGGCAAAGTAGCTATAGAATGCTCTATACCTGTACAGAAACCATTACACAGTCCCTCTAGTGGCATTAATGCAGGACTTGGGAGCCCCAGTCTGGCCCCCGTTAATGCAGCATTTAAGTGATGTGCTGAATGGGTGTCTTCAGTTTCTACCAGTGTTTCTGATTCTTGTGTAGCGTTCAATAATCTACTGGGCACCTCTTCTTTTGGATACTTCCCCTCCTCTTTGAACCCTGAGGATTTATTAACTCAGCATTAATAGTGCCTTAAAAATGTGAAGCTTTAAAGTATCAGGTGTAAATTCACCTTGCTGTGAGATATATATTTTTTCAATATTAAGCACTGGCAAAATGCTGTCAGTTCCTTGGATCTTGGAGGCAGTCTACCTCAAAAACTCCTGATAACTTGATACAACTTTTAAGTCTAACAGAGGTTAATATTTTTACCTTGCTGGTTTTGTTTTTAATGCTAAGCAGTGGCAAATTGCAATCCACTTCTTTAATATGGTATCTTGAAGCTCAAAAAAGTAATGTACATCTGCCCTCCTTATTTATATTCCTTTGCCTCTCCACTCTGCTCTCCTTTCCCCATCTTATTTTAATATTTCTAATGATGGTGAATCGGGTCAACCTGTTGCCATGGAAATAATCCCATGGTGGTTCAACTATGACTTTCCAAAACCCATTCCCAACCTAATAGGTATAATAATCCA